ACTGTAAAGTAGCGGCAATCGTGCTGAAAGCTTTTGCGTGGAAATAATTTTCGGGGAACTGAGTTTGGAAGGAACTGCTAGGAGGGCAGCTCTTTCTAATTTTTTACTTCTCACTTTTTTGTTGGGCACTTGCTGTTATGATATGCTTCGGCGCAATCGATGGATCTGTCATTGTTTCCGTGGTTTTCTATAGCGCACCAATTAGCAACGTTTTGTGGCTCCTGGCAACAGTTATCGTCAGTAGAATTCTACTTGGAGGCTATCATCTAACAGTTAAGATCACAAGGGTACAAAGGGACGCGAAAGCCATATTAGCACGGAAATACTGGGCTGTTTTTTACTTAATATTTTGCGTAGCACATAGACGGTTGTAGTCGATGTGAGAGAGCATGCCAGTATGATTAATAACTTGGGACACCTACACTGGCAGCCTGGGCAGTCTCTGTATTCTTGATTTTTTGCATAAAATAGTGAAAATGAAAGTAAACTAATTGTAGGCGTATCTCTATGCTTATACCTATGGAATGCCTGAAGTGATAAGAGAGAAAGTGGACGAATTAATCAATTGTGAAGATCTAGCAATGAACTTTCTAGTTGCTCACATAACACGCCAACCGCCGATAAAAACTACGAGCAAATGGACGTTACGGTCAATTTTGCATTCGACAAATTTCTAAAAAAATTTTTTTTGAGACAAATCAAATTGCAAGTGGGAAGGACAGCATTTCCAGGCTTGCCTAGGCCTGGCAAAGCGTGACAACTTGAAGGATTAATTGGGAAATGCGCATTCAGAATTCTGGTGAAAATGGAAGTGCTTTTCAGCTGTCCGGCTTGTAAAACGAGTCTTTATCATCGCAGTGAGCATTACCAGCAGAGGCACGAATGCATTCGATTTTTTTCGGAGGTTTACGGATACAATCCTCTCCTTTTCACGCAGCTTCGAGCGGATTCAGTGCTTTTCAAAACACGTCTTCCTGCGAACCACCAAAAATGTTTCAAATACGTTTAGCTGATGTTATCATTTTCTATGTGAATGTTCATTACTTTTGAAACTGCACGGCGCACCCAACCTCGGACAAAGTTGGGCACGCCTCCTCTTTGATGTCATTCCTTCGTAATACTCAAATTAGGCTTCCACACTGGTTTTACTCAAATGTGGCGTTCTTTCGTCTTTTCTGGGTTTGATATTTATTTAGCACAATTCATCATATTTCTGAGGCACCTCAGCACTTTTTTTCCTGTGCTGATACACTTCTGCCAAAATATTTGCACTTCGTCAGGGAAATATTATGCGCTTTAACGAAATTTCACCGACTGGTTTTTTCCCATTCAAATGATGCTTCGTAGGGGAAAAGACAACGGTTTGTTTGCCTGTCCCTCTTGTCCCTTTCAACTCTTCCTCACATTCGTTTTCCGATTCTTGCGCTCTCTTTAGTCGTTAGGATGTGCTGCTGTTATAACCAGCTGGCTCGTACTGACGATGCCGACAAGATGGAAATACGTTCAGAAACTGTTGGCAGTTCTGGTAAGTTTACTGCTTTCTTCGCTTTTAACTTAATTTGCATACTTCTAATGGATTTGATTTAAATGTTTGAGTGCAAGCCTCGCTCAGTGCGCTGTTTGTCTCATTCTGATATTTCTCATATGTGCTGGTGCAAAAAGCGGGTGTCATGACTTATAACCTGTGCCTGGTGTGCATTGAACTTCATAAGCTATTATTTTTAACAATATTGTAATAGTACACATGGAGAAAAGGAGGGATAATGTAATAAGTAATAATTTGCAAAGAAATAGAAAAAAAAAGTTAAAAGGAGGGATATGGGAAGAAGAGCGGCAGCTCTACAAAGCAGGGGCTATCGCGTAATATATCAAATAGTGATTAATGGTTTTTGTTAAAAATAGATTGAAGACCAACTGCGTTACCATGACGCAGTACCCCTGTCCCTGGTTCAAACTTTAACCGTTCTACCCTCACTGAACTTCCGATCTTCGTCCCTTGGGGTATAAAAGCACTCCTCCCCATCGCCGGGATCGCCACTTTCGAACTACTTATTCTAACCTACTTATTCTATATACTACTATTCCTATTCTGGGGAGCTTCGGCTCTCCAGAGCCTCACTTGCTCTTTATACCTTATCCTTTACTTTATTATGTATAATAAACATATATGTAGGGCGCGACGTGTTAAAAATAGATTAAAGACCAACTGCGTTACTATGACGCAGTACCCCTGTTCCTGGTTCAAACTTTAACTGCCCTACCCTCACTGAACTTCCGATCTTTGTCCCCTGGGGTATAGAAGCACTCCTCCCCATCGCCGGGATCGCCAGTTTCGACCTACTTATTCTATATACTACTACTCCTGTTCTAGGGAGCTTCGGCTCTCCAGAGCCTCACCTATTTTTTATCCTTTACTTTATTATGTATAATAAACATGTATATAGGGCGCGACGTGTTACGCACACATACACACACACTAGTCCAATAAAACGACTATTAGGGTCGCGATAGGGCGCACAGCTATGGTTGAAGGGCGGAAGAGTATCATAAGAAAATGGCAATAAAAATATTGAACAAAAGCGTGGCCAGATCAACCAGATCAGATCAAAATTTAACCAAATCAGACCAAAATTTATCAAAATTTTATCAAAAGAGATCAAAATTTTTTCTTTACATTCTTTCAAAGCAAATCATGGCTATTAAGATTATCCTGAATATTGATGGAGTGTTTAGTAGTTTCGCACTATCGTCTTATACGATCACCAGCTCCGAAAAATGTGTTCTGTTTTCTCATAATAAAGACCCGAAATTGTTTGCCCGTTGCTGCTGTTAAAATTGCCCTTTCCAAATCAAACGTGCAAACGATATTTCATAAAACGGGTGTGAATTTGGGGGAATTGGGTGCTTATCCGTTGTGTGTTTCTGGGCATTGTGTGCTTATGCACGGAGTGCTGGGAATTGTATGTTACATAAGGAAAAGAGGAAGGTGGTCAACAGTCGGCGGCTTTGAATTCTGGCTGCCGCCTTTTTTAAGCCCCGACATTTGCGACATCTGGTGGATCGGCCAGGAACACGGGGCATCTGGAGCATCAGCCGGGAACACTAAGCAGATTGCAGCATCCAGGTTGACTCTGGAAGTGCAGATGGCAAGGTGTAAAGGAGTTAGGAGAAAGAAGTAGTGTAGATTAAGGAAGGTGAGAGCGAGATAAGACTTTTCGGTCCATTAAGTCATATACGTCTTAATACTGCGACTGGACCTCGTCAGTATAACGGTCGCAGTGCATAAGAAGAAAGAGAAGAAGAAAAACAAGGGAGAAAGAAAGAGGAAGTGAAAAAAGGTGGGAATCGAAGGAGAGGACAAACAGAGATCGTGACTTTGTGAAGCAGGTGGAAAGATGAGGGAAAAGGGCGGTTAAGAATAGGGAAGAGAGAGAAAGCAGAAACACAAGGGTCTAATAAATTGGGAAAGTCGGAAATGAAGTGAGTTAGAAGAAATCTTATGTGTAAAAAGGGTTTAAGTAGGAATGTAAGCAACCCTCGATGATGAAGGTTTTGCTGTTCGAACCGCGGTCGCTAGAATGCTTGCTTCGTTTAGCGGTGGCAATGTCTGGAATAAGAAAAAAGGACATGTAGTCCGAGGGGAAGGGTGAGTTGATGACGCAACGTGGAATACATAATAAACCCGGAAGAGCTTGGGATATGTGGACAGGCAGTGTATCAGACGGCGACAGTGTGATACAGTGGGAGGGAAGTATTTGGCGAAATGGAGTTTATGTATGAAAGCACCAAGTAAACGGTGAAGACGATCAGGAGGAAAGCCTTTAGCAGAATAATCGAGAAGCAGACGGCGAGCCGAAGATATGAGTCGTTGAGGGGAGAACTCAGTGCACAAGTATTTTATAGGTTGACTGTAAATCGTGCCATCATGGACCGATGGGTGCATGATGGGTGCACATTGCTATGAAGCGAAGAATAGTTGTTGATGGGAAAAGTGAAGTGGTCGCCTTTACAATAAATTGTGGAACCTATGCGGGCTTCCTCATTTAAGGAAATAGTTATATCTTAGTAGTCAGTGGAAGTACCGGAACCAGTAATTTCAATGTCCAGATACTGGCCGTATAAGTCCAGAAGAAGTGGACAAGAACGAGAATAGTCAAGCATGAGCACCTCGTCAACTTATCGACAAAGAAGGAGTGAAGAGTTACTGGGGATCCTGCTGAACTTAAATTCAAGCACCAGAAGGGTAAGGTCAGCAGTTTCGGAGCTTGCGTTGCCT